CAGGTCTAAACCAGGTCTTAAAACCAGGACTAAACCAGGACTAAACCAGGTCTAAACCAGGACTAAACCAGGACTAAACCAGGACTAAACCAGGACTAAACCAGGACTAAACCATGCTCCGTGGACGTGTCTCCTCTTCTTCTATCAATAATATTTGTAATTTGGTTCAGTAAAGTCTGGGCTTTTTCATTTTCTTTTAACAGACAAAACATCTTATGTTACGATTTCCTCGTCTTTCACAGACATGTCCAGGAAAAAATGAACGTTTGGTCACTCCAGTTTTACTTCTAAAATTAATCATCTATCATCATTCTATCAACACAGACATTTACATGGACAGTCTGGTGTAATAATAGATTTTCTTCGGGTGTTTTGTGGAGTGGGTAAGACTGTTTTTAGTGGCAGGATAAATATGACCATTGACATGCACTAGTCTAACACCAGTGACCTCTGCAAATACAAGGACTGGATGGAATATTTTAAAAAGTGTCTCCACACGTCTCCAACACTCTGGCTCACGAGGAAATGAGCTCCTATGTCCAAAATTCTAGACCAGGGTGTCAAACTCATTTTGTTCCGGGGGCCGTATCCAACCTACTTTGATCTCAAAGGGGCCGGATCAGAAAACTCATGTCATATAAACCCCAAAAATAACAATAAGTTTCAAATATTTGTGCAGAGAAACACAAATCTATTACAGAAATCTTTTTTAATTGATGAACTCTTTCTTTTACAAAATATTATAATATTATGAACAAACTGAAACTTTAAGAAAAATGCAATTTCAACACAATGTTTTAACATGAACTTGTATGTAAACAGGAATAAGTCAATTTTTTCTTGTAAAATCCTGCACTCGGCTCCACTTTTCTCATTTTTGACATTTTTCTGATGAGGGTGTCACGGTCAACAGTCAAAACGATCGTCCTTTAAGAGCGTTTGGAAAGAGACAAGTCTTCATTTGTGCTGCTCTGGTGGGAGGGGCCACGTACAGAGACGCTGGAGACGCTGCTGTGATAAACACCACAGAAAATTAACAATATTTTAATAGAAAATATAATTAAAAATATTTTAGTAGAAAAGTCAGCCTGAGGGCCAGATTAAAGGTCTTGGAGGGCCGGATCTGGCCCCCGGGCCGCATGTTTGACACCTGTGGTCTAGACTGTCCCTTTAAGAGGTGCTGACTGATAGCTGATACGCTGTGCAAGTGATTCCCAAAGAGAGTATGGGGCCCCCTGGTGGACCTCAGAGGCGCTGCAGGGGCGTCCAAAGACTTTACATTTCTGTTTTCCAAGTCCCCCCACATCTGAATCTGTTTCTAATGATTATTAACCCAAAGGAACTCTCAGACATTACTGGATTTGTCTCTAAGTAAAACTAAACTCCAGAGGGCACGTACCACAGTTTGAGAAACACTGCTCCAGATTTAATGGTTTGTAATTTTAGTGTAATTTTAGTGTAATTTTAGTGTAATTTTAGTGTCGAGGACCTTTTTGGGGGATGGTTTGGGTTAATGGGGTAAATCAGAGCACCAAAGGAGACCCAGCCAGGCAAACTCGACCACAAATCCTGTGAATCAAACCTGGGACTTCACATTACAGATAGAGGCTTGTCACATGAAGTTTTCTGTCACACAAATTTCTATTTTATTAAGAAAACATAAAAACATTTACAGCTGTAACATCATCTGAGCAGATCGTGTTTTACAAAATGTTATTAAAACAATTCAAATCCATTTTGAAACAACGAAAAGACATGACTTATTAGGAGACAGATTATACTTTCTCAGGGGTATTTAGTATGAGGGCTGCACCGATACTGATACTGGGATCAAATATCGGAGCTGATCCAGGAAAATGAGCTGGAGCGGATATCGGTTCCATGATATCGGTTGAGGCTTTTACTGGATTGATAAGACTATTTGTCGTTGTTTTGCGAGTCTCGAGTAAGTCTCAAGTCCTTGACCTCAAGTCCGAGTCAAGTCCCAAGTCAAATACAGGCAAGTCCAAGTCGAGTCTCGAGTCACTGGCCCATAAGTCCAAGTCAAGTCCAAGTCGTCTGCTGTGAGCTTCAAGTCATTTCAAGTCTTTAAACCAAAAAAGTACCAAATACAGCTTAGATTTTTGCAATTTATATGAATTTTAAACTAAATTATACTTAAAAATTCATGGTAGATTTATATATGAGAATTTATAAGAGTTGAAGAAATGCTACTTTTTCCTTTTTAAATGTCTTGTCAAGATCTTAGTGCAAATCATTAGAGTACAGAAAGAATTAAGATTTAAAAGTGCTTAATAAGTTATTTTGTCATATAATCTGCACTGAAATAGAAGGATCATGGTTTTTGTAGTTCCCTCTGTTTTACTTTATTGTACTGTATATTACTGTAGTACTTTTGAGGATACCACGTCACAGTACTTCAGTAACATCCAAAGTAATAAACAGAGAAGTTGGACGGACGTGTTAAAGTTTGTTCCTGTAAAATTCAGCTCTGCATTTATCAACTGTAAAGAGAAAAGTATTTTCTAAGAACTTTTTTTTAGGAGAAGCATCAAGTTTTCTCAAGTCACAGGCCTCAAGTCCGAGTCAAGTCCCAAGTCATTGCTCTTCAAGTCCAAATCGAGTCCCAAGTCTTAGTCCATTTTATCAAGTCAAGCCTCAAGTCCTAAAAAATAGTGACTCAATCTGACTCGAGTCCAAGTCACAATCTGATATTTACTGACTGGATTTGGCCCAGAACTTTTCATTACAGTTACTTGCTGGATAAAAAAACACGATTGGATCAATTTTGTAGAAAGTTAACTGTGTTTTGATGAAAATAAAATTACTTTTTCAGTCTTTACACTGGTATCAATTAATATCGGGAACAGACAGATATTTTGATTCCGGTACTGAAACTGAAAAAGCTGGATCGGCATATTCCTATTTAGTATTAAACTATAACATACGTGGATCATTATTTTATTACAGCTCAATAGGGGTGTAACGATATCCAAGTCTCACGATATGATATCGTCACGGTACGAACCTCACGGTACGATATTTATTGCGATATCGTGGGAAAGCTCACGATTAGGTACAATACTTTCACGATATTTATCTCACGGTACGATATTTATTGTGATATTTTGTGTTAATATTCTACTTTCTCCTCTTAAAATGCCGCGACAAGACTTAATCCAAAGAACTAAGACTTAAAAGTGCTTAGAACTGTTATTTCTTCTTGTCGTCTGCACTGAAATGGAGCAAAGGATCATGGTCTATGTAGTTCCCTCTGTCTTTTTTTACACCATAACTCTTAATTTAAGCAAAGAGACTTGCAATTCGATATATTGTGATTATTATGAGAACTTTGACGATACGATATCACGATATTTTGGTTACTGTTACATCCCTACAGCTCAATAATAGAAACAGGTTTATTGACTGTTCAAAACTGCAGAACTGAAAGGTCCCGCCTCTTCATTTCACTGAAGCAAGCAGTCAGTTTTCTCTTTCTTTTTTTTCAGAAATTGAAACACAAACACAAACAGACATAGGCACATTAATTGAACATGTGAGCGTGAAAGAGAACGTGCGTCAGAAGTGCAGTCGAGCCAGCAGCCAGCGGAAAAAGCCCGTCCTCTTGGAGCCGAAGAAACTGACGAAGAAGTTGGTGACGGTGGTGGCGAAGATGAGCGCGGTGGCCATGTTGTTCAGGTAGTCCAGTCTCTTCTGATTGGACACCACGTTCAGGTCTCTGCGGGCTACACACACACACACACACACAATCATACACACACAGACACACACACACACACACACATGCATGGTTCATTCACTCTATAGCACAATGACACCCAGTATAATTTGCTTTTTTGAGATTAAATGTGTTTCGTGTAACTTTTCTAGAAGAGGTTACGCTTGTTTCCACGTAGATGCTCGTTTATTATGCTTTTATATTACACTTTTTAAACTTGTAAACAGATTTCAGAGGACAAATCTGTGGAAGAGCCAGCCCAGGAGGAAGCTGCGCTGTGTGCCGAAGGCCGACTTCACGATGTTGACGACCATCGTGATAAAGATGATAAAGGTGATGACGTTATTTAAGAAGTTTAACAGACGCTGGTACGAGGGGAGGAGGCGCAGTTCACAGCGAGCTAAAATACACACACAACATACAACCCACACACACACACACACACACACACACACACACACACACACACACATACAGATCTATGGTTGGTCCAGTGGCTCAGTTGAAATATAAGTCTAGAGAAGATTTTAGTTTTACCTATATTACAAAAAATTTACTCTTGTGAGCTTTATGTCATGTTATAATGTTGTTATTTCGTCAAAAACAGACCTGTACCTGTGTTTTATTTCATTTACACATGTTTGAGTAACTTTTTATTATTAGTCTGTCTATAGGCGAGTTTCATTGTTGACAAAAGCGCGCGTTGCATGCTGGGAATTATTTTGGTCGGCGGCAAGAAACACTAATTCAACATGACGGACGGAGCGAGAAAACACGTAAAGGGTATTGATCCCGGTTATTTATCCACTCTAACGGCAGAGGACCCAAGACCATTTGACCAGAAATTGGTCATAAGCATCGACGGAGCCAAATCACCCTTTTCAACCCCGACAAAAGGTGGACCAAACCAAATTTCTGGTCAGAATCACCAACTACCTGGACAAATATTCACTTGGGCGATATCCACAATGACTTGGTGGAAACTCCTGGGCCATTCACAGCAGAAAAGATGAAAACCTCCAAGAGTCTCGATGTGTTGTTGAACTTGTTGGAGTCCACGGTTTGTTAGGATCTTCTACGTTTGCTCTGCGGATGTTTGAAAGCCGTTTAATTCACCGTTAGTGGTTCTTTTCACTCAGAACACGAAAAAGACATTTTCCTTCTTCCGTGTTTCTATTTGTGCATCCGATAATGCAGCAGGAATTTACCATTATCTGGGATAAATACACGAGGTTACGCACTGTGTTTGACGCTATCGTGTTTCTTGCCTCCGACCAAAATATTTCCCAGCATGCAACGCGGGCTTTTAATAACAATGACGTCAGCTGAAGCTCGCCTATATCTCCAAAGCTGAAAATGCTCTGTTCAACCTTCTGATGTCATGAAGTGGTAGTTTTCAAGTTAACAGCGACCTCTCAAATTATCCAAGTTATTCTAGTGAACGTGAATGGACTTTAAAAACATGGAGGAGTCATGGATCTATAATAAGAACTAAGAACTGGATAAGACGTGTCCACTCTGTCTGTGAGCGAGATCGACTAGTGGCCGCTCCAGGTACTGCAGCTCCCGAGAGCTCCGGCCCACACAGAAATGTCTCATAGAGCACAATCATAGAACATATATATATATATATATACGTATATGAGTGGACAGATTTAACGCTGTAGTCGCCGTGTGCCAAATATGAAGTTCTCCAGGAGGCTCTTCCGGCTCCTTCTGACTCTGGCTCCAATTGACTTACATTAGGATCTTGTGGCTCCTCTCTCTGTAACTGCTGCTGTGAGCCTCGTCATTTTGGTCTTAAAAATTCGCTCTACATGATCCTGATTTTTTTTTTCGCAATTTTGTCCATCAAAAAAATCCTATTCATAACATAGACCCTGGCTCCAGATTCACTCCGGTAACTGTGAGCATCGCGAGCTTCATCTGAGCGACGCTGAACGCTGTGGGTGACGTCACACTCGCTTAGTCCACTTCTTTTATACTGTCTTTGAGAACAATACATTTTTTGTGATGTCAAACTGCTCGTGTTCAGCTGTCAGGGCATCGACAACTTTCATAAAAGTCGAATTCTGGAAGGATTCTTCTGTAGTTTTACAAAATGAACTTTTTGGAATTTCATCAAATCATCAAAACACCTAAAACTTTGCTTTGTAAGAGTTATCCTTGCCCCACTCCAGCAGCTTGTGCTCTGATTGGTCAGAACTGCATGTTTCTGACGTCACATGTTTTGTGGCATAAAACCAGTATTCACGAAGTAATGCGGAAATAAAATCTTTATGGGCCGATGCGCCAATGAGCACAGGTCATTTAAAACAATACGATGCCACCTTGGATTCATCTTCCAGATCTTATTATACTTCCATGAGAGGAATACTATCACCACATGACATCACAAGGTGGAACAGATTGTTTTCTGTTTGAGAGAAGAACTCAGCCTAAATATGCAGAGTTTGTGTGTTAAACATGTGTGAATGAAACAAAACACAACTTCAAGTCTGTTTGTGATGAGGAAAACAACATTATAACACAGAAGAGTGTGTGACGTGGGCCCTTGGATCAAACTATCTTATTACATTTTACAAAAGCACAAGTTTCTCTTCCACATTTTCATATTTTCACATAAATTAACTACAGAATTAAAATATGAACACAAACAACTGCCACTCAGGGTCTGATTAATGTGTTGAGTACAGAAATAACATGGTGGTTTGGTTAGTCTGATAATATAGATGAGGAATTCTTGCATTAAAGTGCTTGTGACAGGTTTTCAAGTTTTTCTAACTATTACTAATTTGTCATAGTTTTACATCAGTTAAGTGGCAGTTTGTAAAAAAACAAGTTGAGAAGAAAAAAATTAAAAATACAGGAAGTAGAAGGAAGTTCTAAAACCAGCATGAAATTCTATCCAAAATGCAAAGATGATTTACGCACAATTTATAGTTAAACATAATAATGGAGGTGTTCATAAGTCTAAATGTAACTATTTTTGTATTTTTTGATATTTTTCAACAAACTATCACTTAACTGATCTTAAGATACTTTCCCATTCTCACCAAACCAAAAAATATCGGAAAAAGATGAAAATCTGTCACTTTTGCATCAACATTATGACCAGTACAAATAACATTTACATAAGAATATGAGAAGAATCTAAACCTGATAATGTCTTAAAGATGCACTATGTAACATTTCTAGTGGGTGGTTCATTTCCTGCATGTCTTTATAGAGATGTTGATTGATACTTTGCAGCTGATAATATCAATATTCCCTGGGGGGTGAAGCTAACACGAGGCACTGTTCTGTCTGAAGCTGTGACTCAAGCTTTGTTTAAACATGTGAGCAGATTTGTGCTGTTAAACATGTCCCTGTTGTTGAAAATCAAACACATAAACAGGACCATGAACCCTCGTTTTGATGACAGACTCCTAAAAATGTGTGGTTTAAATCCATTCAATATTTTTTTTCTTGAGTTTTCAGACAACCTTGTAGGTGTCCATGCAATAGATGCATAGACACAGTGCTCGTCACATTCACTTTTCACTAGTGTTGTAGTCAAGACCAAGACCAGTCCAAGACCACAGGGTCTGTAGACCAGGACAAGACCAAGGCCTCTGAGTCGAGACTGAGACAAGACCGAGACTTTTAAAGGTCGAGACTGAGATAAGACCGAGACCACAGCCCATCAAGACCAAATCGAGATCATCTTTGTCATTTTCAACATTTGTTTGTATGTTACAGTTATTTTGGCACAAATATATCAATGTTTTTATGAATCTATCTCAGTTTGATGAGGTTAATGTTCATTTAGACTTAAATTAAGCCAAGGAAACTGTACTGCACTTAAATACTCTGTGCCCCTTTTTTGGACCCTACAGACCCTGGCACTTATGTTTGAGAACCCTCTTAAACTCTTTAATCCCGCTTTCCACTGGCAGTGCCTTTACAGAAAACAACGTCAAAGTGAAATCCCAAGGGTGCACTTTTTTTTGTTCCTGCTTTAAAGGGTTTATTACACAGAATGTTGATCTCTTCTTGCAGACTCGTAATGCGAAAGTGCATGTCAAAACTCATTTGGTCCGGGGGCCATATCCAAACTACTTTGATCCCAAAGGATCAGAAACTCATGGATTATGTACCAAGTTCAAATATTGTGTCTGATTGAGAATTCAATGAACAGATGAACCAACATGTTCATTGCAATTTTGACCATGATGTGAAGACCAAGAGCCAAATTTGTGCTGCTCGCCACGTCCGAGTCGCAGACCCAAAATTGTAAAAAATGTGATCTTCAAGACCAAGACCAAGACCGTGGAAAAAGTGAAAAGTCTCGAGTACTACACTACTTTTCACACACTTTAATTGTTACAGAACACACGGGTCTTGGACAGAGTTGGTGTAAATGAGGCGTAAAACTTTTTTGTGTGTGTTTGCTAATGTGTGCATTGTCACCATGGTAACTGCTGTACATTTTGCCATAGTACAATCTCCTCCAACATGACGTCACTGCAAAGTATCAATCACTGTGCCTGTAATGAACTGATCTATGCACCATTCCAATTACATTTCAATCCCAGGTGTTTGAACATTGGAGATCCAGAGGTGTTAGTATCCGGAAAAGTGCATCCTAAAGATCCCGGTGCGCTCCATGCCCATGGTGGTGATGAGGATGTTGGTGAGGAAGATGAGGAAGACGAGGGCGGTCAGGCGATTGTTCAGACTGTTCAGGCGCTTGTGGTTCGCTTCAATGTTTAGATCCCTCCGAGCTGCAAACACATACACACGCACATGCACCTATACACACAAAAAAACGACTGCGCCATTTCAACTCCCGCAAATTCACTCTGACCTCTAAATGTGAAACTTAAAGGGACACTGCGTAACTTTTCTGGTGGAGGGTCTGCCTACGTTTTTGTCTCCATGACGGTGTAAATGCTTTGCTTGGAATGTTTCTCAATATATTAAACTTACAGATGTGGACAAAATTGTTGGAACCCCTAGAAAAAAACTGTAAGTAATTGGACCAACAGTTCTGTCCACATCTGTAACTATCTCCACGGAAACGAGCAGGACATGCCACCAGACCAAGATACTGGTCAGATCTGTGCAGAGGAGAGCCCCCTGAGTGTAGCTGTACATGTTCTTTGAGCAATAAAAACAACCATAATTGAGTGAATGGCAGATGAATACGTTTAATGCCACACTGTGAAACATGTCAGACAAAGTAATAACATCTCCATGGAGACAAGCAGGCGGTGGACCCTCTACCTAAAAAGTTACACAGTGCAGCTTAAACACTGTAACTTTTCAGGTGGTGCGTGTCCACATTATTATCTCCATGGAGATGTTGTTCTTTTGCCTGGAATGTTCCGCAGTATGACAATAAACTTACAGTATATATCTCCATGGGGACTATCAGGTGACATCCCTAGGCCAAGTTACAGGTCAGATCTGTGGAGAGACGCGGAGAGACTGGAAGCTTTAAAGAGGAACAGAGGAGCTCATTCTCCAACAGGCTCCTACAGCTCCGCTTAAACAGTGAGAAACACAGGACTACATTCAAACTATAATACTCCCTACAACTGTACAATTCACCCTTATGTAACAGATAATACTCCCTACAACTGTACAACAACTCGCCCTTATGTAACAGATAATACTCCCTACAACTGTACAACAACTCACCCTTATGTAACAGATAATACTCCCTACAACTGTACAACAACTCACCCTTATGTAACAGATAATACTCCCTACAACTGTACAAAAAACACTCCCTTATGTAACAGATAATACTCCCTACAACTGTACAACAACTCACCCTTATGTAACAGATAATACTCCCTACAACTGTACAACAACTCACCCTTATGTAACAGATAATACTCCCTACAACTGTACAACAACTCACCCTTATGTAACAGATAATACTCCCTACAACTGTACAACAACTCCTTATGTAACAGATAATACTCCCTACAACTGTACAACAACTCACCCTTATGTAACAGATAATACTCCCTACAACTGTACAACAACTCACCCTTATGTAAACAGATAATACTCCCTACAACTGTACAACAACTCACCCTCATGTAACAGATAATACTCCCTACAACTGTACAACAACTCACCTTATGTAACAGATAATACTCCCTACAACTGTACAACAACTCACCCTTATGTAACAGATAATACTCCCTACAACTGTACAACAACTCACCCTTATGTAACAGATAATACTCCCTACAACTGTACAACAACTCACCTTATGTAACAGATAATACTCCCTACAACTGTACAACTCACCCTTATGTAACAGATAATACTCCCTACAACTGTACAACAACTCACCTTATGTAACAGATAATACTCCCTACAACTGTACAACAACTCGCCCTTATGTAACAGATAATACTCCCTACAACTGTACAACAACTCACCTTATGTAACAGATAATACTCCCTACAACTGTACAACAACTCACCCTTATGTAACAGATAATACTCCCTACAACTGTACAACTCACCCTTATGTAACAGATAATACTCCCTACAACTGTACAACAACTCACCCTTATGTAACAGATAATACTCCCTACAACTGTACAACAACTCACCCTTATGTAACAGATAATACTCCCTACAACTGTACAACAACTCACCCTTATGTAACAGATAATACTCCCTACAACTGTACAACAACTCACCCTTATGTAACAGATAATACTCCCTACAACTGTACAACAACTCACCCTTATGTAAACAGATAATACTCCCTACAACTGTACAACAACTCACCCTTATGTAACAGATAATACTCCCTACAACTGTACAACTCACCTTATGTAACAGATAATACTCCCTACAACTGTACAACTCACCTTATGTAACAGATAATTACTCCCTACAACTGTACAACTCACCTTTATGTAACAGATAATACTCCCTACAACTGTTTTTTTTACTTATCTTTTTATTTTATTTTACTTGTACATTTACATTTATATAATATGTCTTATTTGACAACTGTGTCTTGCTCTTTTTTGCTACTTATTTAGAATTTATTATAACCGTTTATATTTTTACTTTTTGCTATTATATTATATTATGATGTGTGAGCTACTGTGGCCTAATAATTTTCCTTCTGGATCAATACATTTTTGTCTAAGTCTACTTAAAGAAGACATGTTTAAAGTTAGGTATTTCTGAGCTATAAAAACACATAAAAATAATAAATGATATCATATATAATGAATAAACGACAGACCAGTTTAATGCCATACTATGGGATATTCTAGGCAAAGCAATAACATCTCCATGGAGACAAATATAGTCTCTTTGTATTGTCTCTGTGGAAATGCCTGGAATATTCCACAGTGACACATTAACTAAACTGCAAATATTTGTATAGCTCAGAAATACCTGGAAAAACCTGCATTTTGACTGTGAGTGGACTCTTCTCTCCACAGATCTCACCTGTAACTTCGCCTGGTCGCATCACCTGCTTGTGTCCATGGAGATTTGTCATTTTAATCCCATACTGTGGAACATTCCAGGCAAACCAATAACATCTCCATGGAGACAACCACATGGCGCACCCTTCATCTGAAAATCTACACAGTGCACCTTTAAATTCAGCCAGGAAGTGTGTATTTGTTTGGCGTGAAGGTGGAGGGGGAGTTAGTGTGTTACATGATGGTTACGACACACAGGGGGGTCATAGAGGATTTTGACGGCTCATAATCTAATATAATCTAATCTAAAATAATAATTCTTACCAATGATAACGATGAGGACTCCAGCCACTATCTGCAGAATCAGGGAGAAGGTGATCAGGGTCAGGACTGCAGCGTAGTACCTGCAGAAAATTTGTTATGAGCAGGTACAACAAAATAATAACAAAATATGATCTGTATTTTGATACTGTTGCTCAAAAGGAGTAGGATGAAGTTTAAAAAACTTAGAGTCCTACCCCAATTGTTTTACATAATCACGTGGTTCACATTTAATTTTTTTATTTATATATCACCTTGGGAGTGGCTACCTGTCATTTGTCATCTGTACACAGTGTTGGGAAGGTGACTTTTAAAATGTATTCACCTACAGATGACAGATTACATACCCCAAAATGTAGTTTGTAACTAAATCCATTAAGTTATTTAAAGTGAGTAAAGTAATCTGAATACTTTGGATTACTTGGTTTACTTGTGGAGAAGCAAAGATGAGGATATTGTAACATAATATGTTTAGTTCTGGTTTAGTCCTGGTTTTAGACCTGGTTTAGTCCTGGTTTTAGACCTGGTTTAGACCTTGTTTTAGACCTTGTTTAGACCTGGTTATCCACTTATTTAAAAAAAGTAACTATAATCCAATTACCACTCACTGAAACAGTAACTGTAACTGAATACAGTTACTCATAATTTGTACTCTGATTACGTAACTCCGGTACATGTAATCTGTTACTCCCCAACTCTGCCTGTACACACATACATACATAAACGCATCATAGAAATCCAGTACATATACTCAATATAAATGTTTATACACATATGCATAAAACATATACATACATGCACAAACATATATTTGTTTATGGTCATACAAACTAATAATAATGTTATCGTAGGCACAAAGTTTATGATCGTATAAAATAAACAGTAATGAGAATGAAAAATGTGTAGTAGAAAAAAGTAGTAGTGGTGGTAGTTTACAAATTGGAGTGGAGTTGTGTTTTGTTTCATTCACACAAGTTTAACACACAGAACCTGCTAGTGCTGAACGATTTTAAGAAAAAAACTGAATAGCGATTTTTCTGGCAGATATTGCGATTTTCGATTTTATCCACGATTTTTTTCAAATCAACTTTCAGTGCACATGAAAACATCACAGAAACTTACATCATACCAGAGTACTGCACCAACGATTTGACGTTTGACCATAAATCCCAATTTACGTAAAATTACGAGTCTGTGCCAACGTGAACCGCCTACGTAGACCTTCTGCGTCAAACGACATGCACGTCCCAAATTTTCTAACTACACGTCAAAACACTGCAGAGGCGTTGTTGAAGCGACGCAGGCAATAAGGGCTGTGATTGGTCGTCTCCACCACCGCTCTGCAGACTTTTCCTGTACTCTGCTTTTCTTTCCTTTCAATATACACAGTAATAATGTGTTTAATGCAGCTTTGCGCACATTTGTTTACATTTTACAGAAACTAAACTTAAAACCACATGGCTAATTTGCATAAACTATAAGCGCTGTGCTGTCGGACTAAAGGACACGACTCAGTGGAATATGAGTGTTCTTTCTGTGACAGAGGATGTGCTGATGATGGTGAGTCTGTTCTGTGCTTCTGTCGCGTTGGAGATGGTTCATGTTAAACTTTACACGAACGCCAGGTTTAAATCCTCGCCTCCTCGTGTTGTAGCGGTGAATTACTTCGCGGTGCACAGACCTTAACGCAGAAATCCATAAATTGGGCTTTAGGGGCACTGCAAAAAAACACAGGCTTTGACGCTTCCAAAATCGTGTTGTCTGAGATCGCGATTTTCGGTCCAGAAACGATAGATCCTTCAACCTTAGACCTTGCATATTTAGACTGAGCTCTTTTCTCAAACTGAAAACACTCTGTTCCACCTTGTGATGTCATGTGATAATACAGGAAGTGCTCCACTGTGTTTTTAAACTCCGCACACCTTCACTAAACTCATTTGGATAACTGGATAAAAGCCCTGAAATTGCCAATCGCTATTACTGCCTATTACTGAACTAAAGGTAAAATGAGCTGTTAACTTGAAAACTACTGCTTCATGACATCACACGGTGCATTTTGAGCATGGGACATGTAGGCAGACTATTAAGTTTTTGAGGAGGTAGTAACATTTTAACACGACTTAAAGCTCACAAGAGTCAATCTTGCATAATGAAATTTAATGACAGTCTGCAGTGATGCGGTCGCTGTATCGGACCGTTGTGGTGAAGAGGAGCTGAGCTGAAAGGTGAAGCTCTCGATTTACCGGTCAGTCTTCGTTCCTACTCTCACCTATGGTCATGAGCTCTGGGTAATGAAACTAAAACCGAAAGGATGAGATCATGGATATAAGCGCTTGAAATGAGTTTCCTCCGCAGGGTGGCTGGGCGCTCCCTTAGAGATAGGGTGAGGAGCTCAGTCACACGGTAGGAGCTCGGAGTAGAGCCGCTGCTCCTCCACGTCGAGAGGAGCCAGTTGAGGTGGCTCGGGCATCTGTACCGGATGACCCCGGGGAAGACCCAGGACACGCTGGAGGGACTATGTCTCTGGGCTGGCCTGGGAACGCCTTGGGGTTCCCCCGGAGGAGCTGGAGGACGTGTCTGGGGTGAAGGAAGTCTGGGAGTCCTTGCTTAGACTGCTGCCCTCACGACCCGGCCCCGGATAAGCGGAAGAAAATGGATGGATGGAAATTTTATGAAAACTAGCCTCATGAAATCTAAAAAAACGGCCAAATTAGGATTACTTGAATTATCATGATTTGAGTCACTTTCTTATGGCAAATCAAATTATCTGCCAATGGAACAAGACTTTTTGTAATTAAAATACTACATAAAATGCTACTCTTGAGATAAAAAAAACAAACAAACAAAAAACCCTCTTTGCACTTAAATTAAGAAACAAAATGAGAAACAAAATGTAATGTTGCTTGAATTAAGAAAAACACACTGATCCCATTGGTAAATCGTTTCACTTGTCAAATTGAATGTACTCAAATAAAGTAAAATGCTCTTAATTTAAGTCATTTTAAAGGTGCATTGTGTAACTTTTCCGGTGAGGAGTCCATCAAATGCAGAATAAATGTTTTTCTAGGTATTTTTGAGCTATAAAACCACCTGTAATTGAATAAATGTAAGGTCGAGCTGTTTAATGTCACACTGTGGAACATTCCAGCTTTGACAAATCTATTGAAAAAGGTGAAGCAGGTGGTGGACTTCCAACCAAAAAGTTACACAATGCACCTTTAACGTAGGTAGATATGGCTGTGTGCAGTTGTGTCTGACCTGTATCCAGCTCCCTGCTCGATCACAGTTTTCATGTGGGTGATGTTGGCCAGAAACAGAGCGATGTCCAGCATGCCCTCTGCAGCGCTCTTCTTTGTGGCGTACTGGTTCATGTTCAGAGTGAACGGAGGAGCGCCCTGCAACAAAAACACATCGGATTTATTATATATACACCGATATTTGTACTTTAAAGGTGCATTGTGTAACTTTTGCGGTGAAGGGCCCGTCAGACACTTTTCTCCGTGGATGGTTATTGCTTTTGTCTGGAATGTTTCGCAGTGTGGCATTAAACCTTTCTATTTTCACAGAGACCAAACCAGGCCAACTTACATGTCAGATCTGTGGAGAGGCGACAGCGCTCACAGTCAGAATGCCTGTTTTTTGGGGTATTTTTGAGCTTTATAACCCTAACCCTAAAATAAATAATAAAAAAAAAATAATAATAATTTAATAAAATTAAAAAAATATATAATTAAATAAAAAAATAAAATAATAAATAAATACAATAAAATAAAAAATAAACTAAAATAAAATATAAATTTGAAAGACTAATAGGAGAAAGCAGTTTTTAGTAATATTATTTTTCTTGGATCATAAAACACATATTCCATCTTAAACTTTGAGTCCATTCAGTTTCTTCAGGGGTTATTTAGTAAGATAAATGTAAGATAGAGCTGTTTAATGTCATACTGTGGAACATTCCAAACAGAGCAATGACGTATCCATAGAAACAAGAAGGTGACGGACCCCAAACAAAAAGTTATATAGTGCAGCTTTTATACTATAACAGGTATTGGCTTTGGAGCTTCAGGAAAGTTGAAATCTGACAAAAACACTTACTATATGTATTAATATTTATTTATAATTTATTTTTGAGAAGAAAAAAAAAAGCAAACAAGGTTTAACTCTTCCAGGAGAGGGCAGCACCTCCATGGGTTTTTCATGCTTGAAGATCTTTACTTAAAGTCTATACAACTACTCAATATTTTTTTTTAGCCAAGTACAAAATTAAAATTATTTGTTGTAAAAGTACAAATGGATATTTACCAGCATAGACCAGGGGTGTCAAACTCAAATTCACAGATGGCCACAATTAAAAACTAGTAAGTCATGGACCAAACTAAATATTTATTGAAAAAAATTTCAAGAACATCTGCATGTTTTCTCTTCTTTCGAGATATGTAATGTTAAACCTTTTCTTATTAAAATAAATGTTTAATAATAGTTTTGCTTAAACACTGAATCCAAAACAAGCAAAATATAAAATAATAACAACATTTTAAATAAATAATGTCTCTATTGTCTATCTGTAGCCGGTGAGCAACTCTACTACAGACTTGGTATGATCTCATGGGACAAATTTGGCAGTTTTTAGTAATATTATTTTTCCACCACATTCCACCTTAAACTTTAACTCATAACCGCTATCTATATTAATACATTTATTTTTGAGAGAGCGAAAAAAAATTGTGACAACATTGAAAAAAAATAATAAAAAAAAAAAAAAAAAAAAAAAGAGCAAGACAAGGTTTAACTCTGCCAGGAGAGGGCAGCACTTCCATGGGTTTTTCAAGCTGGAAGAGCTTTACTGAAAGTCTGTACTACTACATAACCTGCTGCTTTTTTTTTTTTTTTTTTTTTTTTAAGCCAAGTACAAACTTAAAAAATCATTAGTTGTAAAAGTAGAAAGGGATATTAAACGGTATAAAGGTTACAGAAGAAATGACCGGAGAAAGCAGTTTTTAGTTTAGTTTAGTTTCTCCTGGATCATAAAACACATTCCACCTTAAACTTTAACTCATAACTGCTATATATAAATACATTTATTTTTAAGAGAAAGAAAAACATTAAAAAAAAAAAAAAAAGAAATATAAAAAGAGCAAGACAAGGTTTAACTCTGCCAGGAGAGGGCAGCACCTCCATGTTTTTTTCAAGCTGGAAGATCGTTACTCAAAATCTATAGTACTACTCAACGTGCTGCTTTTTTTTTTTTTTTTTCACCCCAAGTACAAAAAAAAAGTCAAGTACAAATAAAAAAAATAAAATAAAATAAACCATACAAAACACAAAATCATATACATATATTTGTTATAAAATTATTCAAAAATATTATATTGTTGTAAAAATATTAACTCATAACACATAACATCAGAATAGATCATCATGTTACCTTTTATTGTTTTGAAAATGCTATACTCGCCGAAAACAACATATTAACATGTTTTTTGCTCTCCATGCTAAGTTACTCCCCTTCAGAGCGCTGTAACATTAAAGTTCAAACTGTCGAACGCTTTTCTCCTTGTAAATGTCGTTGCTTTGTCCGGAATGTTTCACAGTGTGGCATTAAACCATTTTGTCCGTCTTCATGGAAACCACACCAGACCACGTTACGGGTCAGATCTGTGGAGAGGCGACCCCGCTCACAGTCAGAACGCCTGTATTTTTTTTAGGTATTTTTGAGCTTTAAAACCACTTGTAATTGAAAAAAACGTAAAGTAGAGGTGTTTAAAGTCGTACTGTGGGACATTCCAGGCAGAGCAATGACATATAAAACATAGAAAGAAGCAAGTAACGGAATCTTCACAATAAAAGTTACACAATTTGCTAAAGAAACTACTCTACATCGCGTCAGGTTTGTGAAGTCGTAGTATATAATGGGTTTAAATAAGGCCCGGGGGGGAGAGAAATCGCTCAAACTCAAACACGCATTACGACATGTAAAACTTCTCCAGGCATGTTTCTGATGAGGAAATGACATTATAAGGCGGTAGAAAGCTTGATTTTACATAATGGGCGCTCTTTAGGCAGGATTACCCGTGCTGCGCGAGGCGTGCAGGTGACAGATGTCTATAGGAAGTGTTCAGAGTCGGTGTTGGAAGGAGCACGCGCTGTTCTTTATGATGTCACTGTTCAAGACGAGCTGCTGTGGCCAAAATAAACACTCAACCTAAACACCGGGGACGTATAGAAACAGGCTGCTGAATGTCAACGTGAGCTGTCCAATGTTACAGGAAGAGGCATTAATATCACGGCTCTGTCTCGGTTTAAAAGGCTCATATTCAGTGTCGGGGAGTAACAGATTAAATGTACAGGAGTTACGTAATCAGAGTACAAATTATGAGTAACTGTATTCGGTTACAGTTACTGTTTCAGGGAGTGGTAATTGGATTACAGTTACTTTGTTGGAATAAATGGATTACACAGAGGTATTTTCCTGTTTTCACATTTTGGGCTGAACCAGGACTAAACCAGGACTAACAAGGACTAAAACCAGGTCTAAACCAGTACTAAACCAGGACTAAACCAGGTCTAAACCAGGACTAAACCAGTACTGAACCAGATCTAAACCAGGTCTGAACCAGGACTGAACCAGGTCTAAACCAGTACTAAAATCAGGTCTAAACCAGGTCTAAAACCAGGTCTAAACTGAACCAGACTGAACCAGGTCTAAACCAGGACTAAAATCAGGTCTAAACCAGGTCTAAACCAGGACTAAAACCAGGTCTAAACCAATACTAAACCAGGACTAAAACCACGTCTAAACCAGGTCTAAACCAGGTCTAAACCAGTACTAAACCAGGTCTAAACCAGGTCTGAACCAGGACTAAACCAGGACTAAAATCAGGTCTAAACCAGGATTGAACCAGGACTGAACCAGGTCTAAACCAGGACTAAAATCAGGTCTAAACCAGGTCTAAACCAGGACTAAAAAACGTCTAAACCAAAACCAGGACTAACAAGGACTAAAACCAGGTCTAAACCAGGACTAAAACCAGGTCTAAACCAGGACTAAAACCAGGTCTAAACCAGGTCTGAACCAGGACTAAACCAGGACTAAACCAGGACTAAACTAGGTCTAAACCAGGACTGAACCAGGTCTAAAACAGGATTAAACAGGACTAAATCCTGCTGTGCGGACTGTGTCTCCTCGTCTTTTATCAATAATATTTTTAATTTGGTTCAGTAAAGTCTGGACTTTTTATTTTGCTTCTCTACAGCAAATCAAGTAATCCAAAGTATTCAGATTACATTACTCACTTTAAGTCATTTAATGGATTACCGTTACAAACTACATTTTGGTGTATGTAATCTGTAATCTGTAGGGGAAAACATTTTAAAAGTCACCTTCCCAACACTGCTCATATTACACTATTTTCTTAGTTGTTTCTTCATCAAAAACAGACCTGGAGTCGTTTTTTTTTCACATGTTTAACACACAAACTTTGCATATTTAGGCTGAGCTCTTCTTTCCAACAGACAAACACTCTGTTCCACCTTGTGATGTCATGTGGTAATGCAGGAAGTCCTTCTATTTGTTTCTACACTTCAAAAAATTTCACTAGAATCATTTAAATTTGGATGATTTCAGGCCTGGAATTGCCAATTTTTACTAAACAAAAGGTGAAAGGAGCTGTTAACTTAAAAACTGACGCTTCATGACATCACAAGGTGGAACAGAGCATTTTGAGCTCTGAGGATTTAGACAGACTAATAATAAAAGATTAAAAGTTTGGAGACACTTTTTCTCTGTCTTTCTTCTTTACAGGGTTCCCACGGTCATGGAAATCCTGGAAAAGTAGTGGAAATTGAAGATGTAATTTTCTAGGCCTGGAAAAGTCATGGAATTTTGTAAATTCAATAAAAATTTTGGAAAAGTCATGGAATTTTAGTATCTCTTTCAGTCAACTACAGTGCTCTGTTAAGTTATCATTAGGATATTATGATTATTTCTGAACGTCTGCGTCTTTTGTTTAAAAGACTGAAGTTTTTCTGCACTATTAGTCGCTCTGGATTATAAGACGCACTGTCATTAAATGGTCTATTTTTTAACTTTTTTCACAAATAAACCTCACTGGATTTTAAACAAAACACAACAGTGTGATGGGTGAGTGGTTTTGTTTGTTTGTTTCACGGTGACTCTGGGCTTTGTTCAGTTGTGGCGTGTAGGGAGTCTGGGACCAACGGATTGTCGGCGTGTTCGCAGTGACTCAGTTGTTCAGTCGTGTCTAGAAGTGGCACATTGCGCTCGCTTTTTCAGTTCGTTCCTCCGTTCCGTTCCTCGTCGGCGTGGAGTGATGAGTGTCTGTGGGTGTTTTTCGCTGTGTGGTCGCTGTCTGCTCCATGTGTGTTTGCGTGT